TTTAGCGTTGTCTTCGCGTGGGGACCGGAGGACATGCCTGGACTTGACCGAAGCATCGCTGTCCATTGGCTGGCGGTCAATCCAACGGCGATGCCCATCCAGCAGAAAAGAAGACACCTCTCAACCGAGAGGAAGGAATTCGTGAAGAAGGAGGTCAACATGCTCCTGAGTATCAAGCATATCCGGGAGGTCTTGTACCCGGTTTGGCTGGCAAACGTGGTCCTGGCCCCGAAGCCGCCAACCTGGAGGATGTGTGTTGATTTCACCGATCTCAACAAGGCATGTCCGATGGATCCATTCCCATTGCCTAACATCGACCAACTAGTCGATGGGACGGCCGGATGTGAGCTCCTTAGCTTCATGGACGCTTTTCGAGGATACCATCAGATTTTCATGCACGAAGAAGATGCGGAGAAGACATCGTTCGTCACCCTAGAGGGGATTTTTTGTTATCTTGTCATGGCCTTCGGGCTGAAGAACTCTGGGGCGACGTACACGAGGATGGTGGCCAAGGTATTCCGGAAGGTGCTCGGAAGGAACATGGAGGCGTATGTTGACGACATGATCGTCAAGAGCACCCGGGCGTCCGATCATGCAGATGATTTGGCAGAGATCTTCGGGATCATGATGGCAGTCCGTCTGCGCCTGAATCCGAAGAAATGTACCTTTGCCGTCCAAGGAGGCAAGTTCCTGGGGTACATGGTCACACGGAGGGGGATTGAGCCAAATCCTGAGAAGGTAAGGGCAATACTTGACATGGAACCCCCGAGGTCAGTGAAAGAAGTCCAGATCCTCACCGGCCGTCTAGCAACCCTCGGACGCTTCATGTCCAAGTCCGCCGAGAAGTCCCTACCCTTCTTCCAGGTCCTAAAGAAACAAAATGGTTTCGTCTGGAATGATGAGTGTCAGCGAGCCTTCGACGACCTGAAGAAGTACCTCCTCTCTGAGCCTTTACTCAGCAAGCCGGAGAGGGGGGAGACGCTAATCCTTTATCTTGGGGTTTCCCGAGGTGCAATCAGTTCCGTGCTGGTTCGTGAGGAGGAAGGCGTTCAGCGTCCCGTCTACTATGTGAGCAAGACCCTCCAGAATGCTGAGCTCCGGTACACCCCGCTCGAGAAGACAATATATGCCGCCTACATCACCGCCAAGAAGTTGACACACTACTTCCAAGCGCACCCGATCAGAATCCTGCCAGACCAACCCCTAGGTGCCGCTCTGAGGGCGCCCGACACAACCCGGGTAGTGAAGTGGTCGATGCTCCTCAACCAATACGAGGTTGACTTCCAGCCTCAGACGTCCATCAAAGGCCAGGCTCTGGCAGATTTCATTGTGGAATCCACGGCCCGAGAAGTAGCAGATAGGCAACAAGAGAGCAATGAACAATGGTGGACTCTAGCGACTGATGGGTCGGCAGGAGCCAAGGGATGCGGGGGCGGAATCGTCCTCATCTCACCCGAGGGATTCCGAGCCTACTATGCCTACCGCTATCTTTTCAAAGTCTCCAACAATGAGGTGGAGTACGAGGCCCTACTGTCTGGGCTACGATTGACAGCCGCCATGGGAGCAGAGTGGATAACGGTGGAATGTGACTCCCGCCTGGTGGTTTCCCAGGTCAAAGGTGAGTTCGAAGCGAAGGAAGAAAGAATGATGAAGTATCGAGATGTTGTTCGGGAGTTGCTCGGGTTGTTCAAGCAAGCAGAGTTGATCTGCATCCCGAGAAATCAAAACTCCGATGCAGACCTCCTCTCAAAGCTATCCCAAGGGTTACCTGAACATATATCGAGAATTGCACGCATTGAGGAGATGACGACCTCAAGCATATCAGCCTCACCGTCCATTGACGTCCTTCCCCTGCAACCAGTCGCCTGGTGTTGGGTTGATGACCTCCTGCGCTACATAGCCGATGGGACGCTCCCCGAGAAAGAAGAGGAGGCAAGGTTAGTCCGACGACGAGCTCCGGGCTACGTCGTCTTGGATGGGAAGTTGTACAAGAGGTCCTACAATGGGACCTTGCTAAAGTGTTTACGCCCACATGAGGCGGAAATGATCGTCTCTGAACTCCATGGGGGCGTATGCTCCGCCCATCAGGGAGCAGACACATTAGCTAGGAAGGTCGTCCTCCAGGGGTACTTTTGGCCAACAATAATGAAGGATTGCGCTGACTATGCAAGGAGATGCAAGACATGCCAGAAGTTCCAGAAGAGCCCCGGCCGACCAGCAACGATGTACACACCGATCAGCACTGCCCTTCCATTCACAAGATGGGGTGTCGACCTGGTCGGTCCCTTACCAACCGGGTCGGGAAACCGGAAGTTTGTCATCGTCGCGGTGGACTACTTTACGAAGTGGGTTGAGGCCGAGCCGCTTGCCAGCATCACACATCTCCAATGTAAGAAGTTCATATGGAAGAATATTTTCTGCCGGTTTGGGGTTCCCCTCCAAATAATCTCCGACAACGGAAGGCAGTTTGACTGCGAAGCCTTCCGGCAATTCTGTGCAGAGTGGGGAGTAGAATCCAGCCGAGTTGCGGTCTGCTACCCCCAGGCAAATGGACAGGTGGAGAACACCAACCGGACGATCGTCGATGGACTGCAAAAGAAGTTGGAGGGCCTCGGGACTGCCTGGGTGGAGGAGTTGAACAATATACTCTGGACCTTCAGGACAACCCCAAGGAAGGCAACAGGAGAGACCCCCTTTGCCTTGTGTTATGGCTTTGAGGCGAGGGCACCATTTGAGGCCGTGGTTCCCAGCCGGCGAGTAGAAGAGTTCGAACCAGCCAGCAATGAGGAGAGGCTCCGAGCCGAGCTCCACCTCATTGAGGAAAGAAGAGACCGTGCCTTCATCAAAGCGGAAAACTATCGACGACAAGTCAAGGCGTACCAAGATAGCCGAGCCCGACCCCGGAGTTTCGACGTCGGTGATTATGTCCTAAGACGTAGGAAGGCCAGCAGGCCGACGGAGGGAGGAAAGCTCTCCATCAAGTGGGAAGGCCCTTACGTGGTTGACGCAGTGATCGGCCCTGGGACATACAAGTTGAAGACAACAACAGGCCGGTTGGTAGACCGCGTCTGGAATGCCGAGCACCTGATGAAGTTTTACCAGTAGAAAATCGAAGTTTCACTTTTCTTTGTAAACTCCTGTGCTCCGAGCCCGGGATTACAATTTGTAATTCTTCATGTGGTCCGCCCACATCATGAATTCAATATACTTTGCTAGCGATATTTTGTCATCAAAAGAGGTCCGACCTCACTTAGCAATAAAGGGCGGCGGCGGCAAAAAAAAAAGGTACTATGCCCCCCCTCGGTGTTTGGCCGACCTCGGCCAGGCTCTTTAACCGAAAATAGCCAAGCGATTTTCAAGAATATGGGCAATTTTCTAAAGTAAAGAGCTAGCCGCGACAGTCGAGGCGACGGTAGGGCCGGCCTCCGGGTCGAGGGTACTCAGGATGCTGACCTCCGGGTCCTTTCGAGTGCTCGCCGCCTAACATCGCTGGCCAAGCAGCTCGCACTCTCGTCATCCCTGAGTTGGCAGTGCGGGTTCGTTCTGGTGGATCATGCAGGGTCCGCCCCTGTTGTTTGGCTATCCATGCGGGAGTAACCAGATTATTCCCCAAGTCCGGGCAAACTGGACGGGTTAAAGTGACAGTAGGACTGACCCCCGGGTCATGAACGTTCAGGATACCGACCTAAGGGTCTTCCTCGTCGGTTCAATGTCCGACCTTGCTGGCCAAACAAGTCGCTTACTTGTTGATTCCATATCAATAGCGAACAGATCACTTCTATCCAACTAGGAGAGGCACGGATAGGCTCGGCCACGCCAGCCTAACCGCCCCCCGGGAGGTTAGAGAAGCCAGATCCCCGAATAAATTGCTAAGTATTCGTAATGCAAAGTATAGAAAAGGAAACATATGAATTAAAAGGTAATATTCATTCGAATTTTACATATGGTGGCTACAAGCTACAAAAAAAAGAGGTGCAACAGTCATGGTCGGATGTTCCCATGGCCATCAAGTACAATGATCCAGACACGGGAATTGCTAGGAATCTCAAGGAACTCTCCTGGAATCTGAATTCAGTGCGGTCTTCATCATGGTTGTTCACCTCTCGATGGGTGGTCGCCAAGTTCAGTGGAGGTCTCTCGTCATCAGTATTCTCTCAGCCGGTTCAATGTGTAACATTTTACTAATGCTTGTCTGCTCACCTTGGGGAATGGATCACCTTCCTATTTCTCACTGCCCGGGAGCCTTGGCTGCAAGGACATCACTGCCTAGGAGCCATGGTAGCTACGGAGTCCCCAAATTCTGAAAACAATTCAGCCGGACGGGAAGCGAACCTGCAAAGACAAAAAAAAAGAGAAGTAACAAAGCCTCAAACCCCAGTAAAATTCGCCGACCAACATGGAACCCAAACCCGCCGACCATATTTACCGGACCCCGAGAACGACGCCCAGCCAGCTTGCCTTCGCCTGGGGATGCCGGGCGACACCCTATTGCCCGAGAATCCATCGGATCCCAATTGGCCGCCCATGGCACCAACCTTCTGGTATCTCGCCTAGGGTTGATACAGCCAGCCACCAACACCCGTCCATCTGGTCCGAGAGGGATTTGACTCCAGCAGCGCACCATAGCTCGTTCGCCCTGCCACCACCAACGTCAGCCTGCTGCTCGCTAGGGACAAAGGATTTGCCCACCTGAGAATCATCACACGCCTTCCCAACCTGGAAGCACTGCCGCTAACCGATGGGGCTGCCGACTTGGGAAGACGGGATGTTGCCATGGCCCGGTAGGTTGCCGACAGAAGCAGAGGGGTCATCGGACGTGCCTGGCCTTGAAATTCCGACGGCCCTTGGTCGCCGGCCCCCTCCCTCGCCAAGCTCGCCGGCCGGTCGCGTGTGGATGTCGGGCCTGAGGTACCAACTACTCAATTCGTCCGCCGGTATGGAAGAAGAGGTGACGGCCTGCTGGATTTCCATCTGCGGCACTGGGCTACGCGAGGAAGACGCACGCACGCGGTTCCAGGAGAGAGAGGAAAAAGAAAAGAAAGGAAAGAAAAAGAAAAGGAAAGAAAAGAAAAGAAAGGAAGAAAAGAAAAGAAAGGAAAAGAAAAAAAAGGAAAGAAAAGAAAAGGAAAGAAAAGAAAAGGAAGGAATTTATTTGGAACCTTTTTTGGGAGCCTGATTTAATTTGGGAATTTCCATAAATTCTGGGATTCCCATAATCCACAATTATGGCTCCCTGATATGTGAATATTTTTAAATCGGCAGCTGACTTAAACTACTCCCTCTTAGCCGAGTCTACTACTCGACTAAGGGAGTGGGGGACTCGTGATGGGGTTATGGGACTAGGCCCAGAGCCTAATCGGCCCAGGCCCCGAACTTGGACCAGCGGGCCCAAGCCCAGCAACCCAGAGCTCGAGTCAGCCCAACCAACCAGGGCAATCAAGGAGCGGAAGCCCAAGAGAGCCTGTCGACCAGCCCAGTGGGGAGCCTGCCTTCCAGCCCAGTGGGGAGCCCGCCTTCCAGCCTAGCCAGGAGCCTGCCGACCACCAGCCCAGCTGGGAGCCTGCGGTCCAGCCCAACTGGGAGCCTGCGGTCCAGCCTACCTGGGAGCCTGCCTTCCAGCCCAGTGGGGAGCCTACCTTCCAGCCTAGCCAGGAGCCTGCCGACCACTAGCCCAGCTGGGAGCCTGCGGTCCAGCCCAACTGGAAGCCTGCGGTCCAGCCTAACCGGGAGCCTACCTTCTAGCCTACCCGGGAGCCTGCCTCCAGCCCGGTCAGAAGCCTTCCTCCAGCCTAGCGGGAAGCCCACCATCCAGTCCAGCAGGAGGGAGCTCAAGCGTCCAGCCTGCCAGCCAGGCTGACCTGCCAGCCAAGAAGAGTAACGGCCAACAATTAATGCACGACTTAATTATGTGTTTAATTCTGTATTAATGTTGTAATTAATTTAGTCATTATTATGTTCGGCAGTTACCATTTGTAATCGCCTATAAAAGGCAATTTGAATTTCAAATACAGATATGCTATTTCTGGCTAACTTTCCATATTCGTACTTTCCTAATTCCTGCTTGAGTGTCGTACGTAGCTTTCCTAAAAGCCTACGAGCGTCCTATTTTGGACCAACAAGAGAATTAGCTCAATATCTTAATATAGTGTTTAATTGTTTCATAGATATCTATTGTGGGATAACAACACTTAGACGATAATAAAATACACATGAATCAGACAATTATTATTAAATAAGACTTGATCAAACTTAAATAGAGCAAACCACTTTGAACAAATCAAATCTGGAAATTTCAATTCAATTAAAAATATCCTAATTATTGGTTCTTTGGCTCTCATTAATTTGCTCGTCTTCAAATCTCCAATACTAAATTCCTACTACCTTCGTCCCATTTTAGTTAGTCATCTTTGAGTTTTTTAGTCAAAGATAGTAATTTTGAGCAATTATTTTAACTAATATATATAGTGAAAAATTTAATAATTTTATACTTTTATGATAGTATTTTCAACGAAAAACATTTTCATATTATCACTATTGACATGAAAAGTCAGATTTGGATAACTAAAATGGAACGAAGGGAGTAACATTGTTCATCTGTAACATTATTACGTCTTGGCCTTCGATATGTGTCTCTTGGCAATTGGCACTGTGTCTATCTATACCCGGTACCGTTAGACTTGATGAATTGCAAACAAAAAATCTCAACCAAGAGCAACGTCTTGTCTACTTTTGCGCTTTCCCAGTTAAGACTTGAGAGTCGGGCTCTATCCATCAAACTCTTGCGACCCATCTTTCTGGACTAACTCATAAGTCATAACATAGAATTAGGGTTGTATACTGATGTTGTGATTTTTCTCGCACTTAAAATAGATTGTAGAATAGTGGTGTAAGTACGAGTATCGTCTCCACAGGGACGGACAAAAGTGAATTAAGAATTAAATAAATTCAGCGATTAAAAATAAATAAAATAAATGTGTCGTGCGAGATTTGATTGATTGGGAAAATTAACTAATGCGAATGAACGATTAAAATAAAAGAAATTAAACTAATGGCTTCTTTCTAATTAATGACAGTAGGGAACAAGGATTGATTCCGGGGTAATCGGATTTTTGGCAGATCAGGCTTAATTACATGAAATTAATTTAATTAAGCCTAGCTAATCAATACTAAGTTCTTACCGCTCTCGCGGCGTAGAGTACAATAATTTAGGGGACCAGGCTGATCTCTCATGCGACAGGATCCTAAATTATTGCCAAAACGAGCGATCTTATGGCCCCTTAATCGCTACTAATATCTTAGCGAGCGATTAAGTGTGTGTGAATGTGTCTCAGAATAAATTAGATCTCTCTTAATTTATTTTACAAGAAATTGTAAATCTAGCCGTGATTCCGGGTTACCAAAGATAGCAATTAAATTGTTCAAACACAAATTAAACGGTATTCATGCAATTAATCCATCAAGAAACTAGCCATATATCATGATTAACCCCTTCATCAATCCCAAATCCCTAATTAAAACTACTCACAACTCATAATTGAAGAATCAATAGAATTGGGAAGAATAGAATTAATTGTCATTAATTAAAAAGATGAAACTTACAAATAATCCTAGGGAATTGACGAACAAGACGGAAAACTAGAAGAAATTTCGTCCCTAGGCCTCTCTCTAAGCTCCCCCCTCAAAACAGAGGGTTTACAGGCTGTTTAAATAGTAAAAACGGAGCAATTCGGGCGAAATTAGGACTCCAGGGGCATGCACGGCGCCCAAGCACGCGTGCGTGGCGTCCGTGCGTCCGACAGAGTTACGCGAAAAAAACGTTGGATGCACGCGTGCGTTCCCCACACACGCGTGCGTCCCCCACTCACGCGTGCGTGGATGCCAGTGAGTTTTCCGGCTTCTCTAGTTCGAATTTTACAAAACTTCCTTCATGAAAGTTGTAGATAATGAAGTCCTTTATCCACTACAACTTGCCGAATTGGATTTGAATCATCCAATCAATAGAAATGAATAAAATGGTGGAAGGTCTCATTCTGAAATCGCAACAGGGATCATCTGACTTCATCGTCTGTTTTCACCTTCTTCGTCTCAGATTCTTGCAATGGTGTCTTCATATGATTTATAGCCCTTGAAGTTGTGTTTCATATTCAACTTGAATCGTGTCCTTTGGATGCTTCTACAAAGAGATATGTTTGAACGATTGACATAAGGACATTCTGAACGTCGTTTTCAAGCTCTATTTGTCTTCTTTTGATCCCGTAGCCAATCCTAAAGCTCTTTTGTCATCAAATCTTCATTGGTGAACCTCCCGGTGACCTCCAAAGCTATCAACTCACTCTCGAATGCTTCTCAAGTTGTCCCGATTTCTCTTCAAGCGCCGGTGCCGGACTCTAAATTCCTGATTTTGACTCCAAATGACACAAAACTCGAACCAACGCCCGGTAAACATAACTTGAGCTAAAATTGAGACTTGTAACACCTTAAAGCTAGGGAAAACCATCAAACTCGATCCCAACACGCAACAAATGCATGTCTAAATACGGATTTATCATATATGAATCAAATAATTTACGCCCAGTTCGGGATTCGTATTCGTATAGGACAATTCGAAAGATTCAAATACAGATAAGAATATTGTCAGGTTTTCACCTCTCCGGCGCAGACCACGCTCAAACAGCTCACACAAAGCACCACCAGGGACGGGACGGTCACAATCAGGCCAGGCCAGGCCAGCCATCTCAACGCACACCACAGAAGAAGGGAGGAAGCACAGAGAGATCAAACACAAAGGGATCAAAGGAGAGGTGAACAGTCTCTCTCTATCTCTCTAACCTCGCTCTCTCTCTCTAACCGAAGACCTCAAGTCTCAAACAAGAGAACAAAAGGAACTTAAAATCCGAGGGTTAAGGGGGAATCCTAATAGAGGGTTCCAGAACAAGAGCTAGCGAGAAGAACATATATGGGTCAGGGCTAAGGACGTAGCAAACGGGCCCAACACAAAGGGAGAGGGCTGCCAAGGCCTAAATGGGTCAATACATCCACACTCTCCACCTTGTTGGCCATAAATGGTGGTGCAAGGTATCAGAAGTACAAAGAGCTCATGGTTCATCATCGCTGGGTCACCAATGATATCCTAAAGACATAACTGGCTAACAAATTGGAGATACACAATGTACTCCTAACAGAAATTTGGAGAAGTACACTAGGTACTCTCCCAAAACGTGAGTGCAGATTTCCTCAAGCGTCTGGCTTTTGAGAACCTACACTCCCAATTCCCAAAACCTGAAAAAACAAAGTTAACCACAGTCCAAAGTTAAAATTCATTTACAAGATAACAACTTTTCAGCAGACAAACACTTCATTCCCATATCCGCTGGGTTAAGCTCTGAGGGTATCTTGCACAGCTTCACCTTACCTGCATCTAAATCATCACGAATAAAATGGAACCTCACATCAATGTGTTTTGTCCTATCATGAAAAACATGATTCTTGCAAAGCTGGATACCACGCTGGCTATTAGAAATCACAGTAACATCCTGTTTAAGAAAACTCATTTCAGAAACAAGACGCCTCAACCAAATGGCTTCCTTGAAAGTCTCTGTAGCTGCAACATACTCAGCCTTAGTGATTGATAAAGCAACAATAGATTGTAACTGAGATTTCCAACTAACACAAGAACCACACAAAGTGAACACATATGAAGTAGCAGATTTCCTATTATCTATATCATTAGCATAGTTAGAATCAACATAACTACTCAGTTTCACACCTTCAGCACACTTAGAGAATATCAAATCATGATTTACAAAAAAACTTCAAGTATCTCAAAAGCTATTTCAAAGCATTCCAATGAGACATACCGGGATTAGACATATACCTACTCAAACAACTTACACCAAAAGCAATATCAGGTCTAGAACTGTCCATCAGGTACATCACAGAACCTATAGCATTAGAGTAGGGAATAGACTTCATAAGATCAATTTCAGTAGCAGTCTTAGGGGACTCGTTCTTACTTAGCACAAAGTGAGAGGCAAGAGGTACATGCACAGGTGCATCAGAAGACATATTAAACTTACTCAAAACTTTCTCCACATTGACTTTTGTCCCTAACAATGTTAATCCCAAGTATTCTCTTGGCATCACCAAGATCTTTCATAGCAAAGTTATCACAAAGGCATTTTTGAACAAATTGAATATATTTAAGACAAAGACTGATGATCAACATGTCATCCACATAGATTAACAAGAACACAGGAACAAATGAAGTATTCTTGAAATACAGACAATGATCACAGGCAGATTTCACAAATTTAATAAATTGCATAGACTTGTCAAACTTAATATTTCACTGCCTAGGGGATTGCTTCAGGCCATACAAGGCCTTCCTAAGCAGACAAATATGATCACTCCTCTTGTGATCCACAAAGCCCTTAGGTTGAGTCATATATTTTTTTTATCTAATTCACCATGCAAGAATGCAGTGGTAACATCCATTTATTTCATTTCCCAGTCATAGTGAGCAACCAAAGCAAACATGATCCTAACAGCATTAAACTTAACTACTGGAGCAAAGATTTCAGCATAATCTACCCCTCTTTTTGAGTAAACCCCTTAGCTACCAACCTAGCATTATACTTAATGTTGTTATGAGGTTCTTCCTTGACCTTAAACAACCACTTGCACTCAACTACAGAGCTGCCAGCAGGTCTAGGAACAAGGGTCCAAGTCTGGTTCACTCTCAGAGAGTCCATCTCACTTCTCACAACCTCTAGCCATTTTTGAGAATCTCTGGACCTGGAAGCCTCATTATAGGTTTTAGATTCATTCAGGTCTAGGGTCTCAAACAAATTAAAAGCAAAATCTGATATATCACAAACAGTAAAGGCATAATCAGACATAGTATCATCTTTTCTCTTAATGGTTCTTCTACTCCTATCCCTAGCAAGTTGGTAATCATGCAAACCAACATCTTCATTCTCAGCAGAATCATTAAACACATTGGTTTCGTTAGACACATAATCATTATGCACATTATTTTCATGATCATGTTCAAACTTCACCTCACTAGAGGTAGTAGTATCACCAGAAGCATCATCATGCAGATCAAATGAATGATTAGGCATAATAGAAACAGTTTCATGCACATCAGGGAAATAATGGGCATAGAAGGGACCTGAGACTCCACCTCAACAGGTGTATTATCAGAAAATGCTCAGACACAGTTTTAGGCAAGTAAGGGAAATCAAACTCATTGAAAACAACATCCTTATTTAATTCAACCTTAAAACCTGGTACACTCCTATCCCATAACCTATATCCCTTTACCCCATCAAGATAACCCAAGAAAATACACTTCTTGGATCTGACGTCTAACTTATCAATTTTCTGATGAACATAGGCATCACACCCAAACACCCTAAGGTTAGATAGGTCAAGGGACCCATCAGTAAATTTAACTTCATGACATTGATCTCCTATAGGAATAGAGGGAGACCTATTTATCAGATAGGTGGCAGTACTAAGTGCTTCACCCCAAAACTTCTTACGAAAACCTGAGGCACACAACATACTTCTAACCTTATCTAGAAGGATTCTACTCATCCTTTCAGCCATCCCATTTTGTTCAGGGGTGTAGGGCACAATCTTATGTCTCCTAATGCCAGAAGAGGCACACAGTTGGTCAAGTTCTTTATTACAGAACACCAGGCCATTATC